GTCGAGGATCGAGAGATGATCTCCGGCCACCGTAAGCGCAGGTCTGCGGACGGCGAGTAAGGATTGCTCGCCGCCAGAGCCAAACCAGACCCGAACGGACGGCGCGTAGCGTACCGTGCGCGCCTCAAAAGCCAATAGACAACCACAGGCGGGGTCCTATAAGGCTGATGTTCAGCCGGGGTTGCGGTTTGTTGGGCGGGCGAAGAAATTTGATGATTATCCCCTGACAAAAAAAGGGTTTTCTATTGTATCGTAGCAGCAGTCATATAGGTCATGGCTTAATTAATAAGAAATCACCTTATACATCTAAAATATTTTGTATACCTAAGTGCGGGAGAGTCATGCTTCGGCTCGAATGGGCAGGTTCGATTGAAGTGATACCAGGGCTTCACAAAAAACTATCGTCAAGCAACACTTACTTTGCGTTTTGCCGTGTAAGTGAGGTTAAAGGAGAATCAATCCTTCCCCTACCCATCCTTAGTTGTCAAATCCCCTATCCTTCGATCCTTTACAACGCACGAGAAGCCGGCTACGCACTTATATGTTATAGTGACTTGTTTGCTATTACTAGTGTCCATTGGCGGCGCAAATTGCATACCACTAGGTAATATGTATGCTCGTTTGCCGACTTATGATATAAAAAGTGTGAGTGTGGCATGTTTCCCCAATCCCTAAATCTCCAAATCCCTAATCCCTAAAAGGTCGGCAACGCATTCGTAACTCCTCTGTTGTTGCGGGTGTCCACGGGGAGCGCTGATTGCTTACCAACAGTTAAAAAAATGCTCGTATGCCGACCTATCACAATACATAAAAAAATGAATGGGTCGGCTGAACTGGAGTGATACCACAGCCTCATGAAAAACCGGCGTGAGACAGCCACAGCATTATGTTCCTCATGCGATTGAGGTTACTGGAAAACCAATACTTTCGCTGCCCCTTAAATCTCCAAAGCCCCAATCTCCAACGGTCGGCAACGCACTCGTAACTCCTCCCTTGTTGCGGGTGCCCAAGGGCGGTACTGATTGCCAACCATCTGGTAATCCGACTGCTATTTTGCCGTCCTATAACATAAAAAAAGAAAACATCGTAAATTTTATCAAGAAATATGCATCAGTTTGTAAAGTTAGTTTTATTTTGTCTACATTGTACCTCTCAAACATATTATACCAAATACACGAACTAAAGTACCTTCTTCAATTAAAAAGAGGCAAAGGGTGGAGCCAATTCTCACAGGTATAATTTATATATGTATTCTATGCAGTTCGTGTATTGATTTTCGAACCATCTAGGACACAGTGCTGACCTGGACGGACATTGGTGGAATATCAGCTACATTCATAATGCGGAACTATAACGCTATCTCACTTTTACTGTCCCAACTTCACTGCGATGCAGTGTGTACAGTTAAGTGAAACAGTGATCCGAGATGCATTTAAATGAATCTCGTATGTGTGTGCAGAACTATGAGTAATAATTAAATATCGAATATTATTTTTATAATTTCTCTTACAATCCATAACATCTGGGGATTATGGTAAATTCCTCTTTTGTAAAGCAGTCTCTTTGTCCAGCGTTGTCACAAGTGTAGTTTGAGCATTAATTACCACGCTTGGTTAAAACGTTGGGTTGGCAATTAGAGCTCTAAAAAAAATTGTAGTCCTGATCTCTTCTCAAAGGTTTCCTTCACCGAATGTCAGTGATATCTTTAAAATATTAGAAAGTACATATAACTCAGAAAAATAACAAAGTACCGTGGTCCTGCTCCAAAGTAAAAGAAGAAACGCCCAGGGTAGGAGAAATCCTTTGATGAAATTGGGCTCGTCAAAATGAAGAAGTGGCAGCGGTTTTCATTATGTAAACTAAAAAGACACGAAAAACGCACAAGCAAATAGCTGAACATTTTTAGTCAATTTTCTCATATGTATACAAAACCATAAAATGAAGAGGAAATAAATAAACTCAATGAGTTTAATGTTAATTAAAGTGTCTGAGAGCCATGCTTCGAATGGGTTGCCTTACCGGATGATACTACAGCCTCGCAGAAAACCGGCGTGGAACAATCACAGCGTTGTGTTTCGTCGTGTGAGTGAGGTTATCGGAGGCCCAATCCTTTCTCTGCCTCAATCCATCCCCAATCCTAATTTCTCTAAATCCGTAATCCCCAAAAGGTCGGTAATGCACTCGTAACTCCTTTGTTGTTGCGGGTGTCCATGGGCGCCTGCGGCTGTTAGAGAATAAGATAGCCGACGAATCACAAAAATAAATAAATTAAAGCCTAGAAGTGTAAATATAAGTAAGTATAAATAAGTTAGTGTAATTATATATCTGCTTTTTATCTAAAGCAGAGACCAAAAGAAAGGTAATTGGCTGGCTTTGTAGACTTTTTGAATTCTAGCCATTAGCAACACTGCAAAGACACAGAGCCGGAATGCAAAGCGACGGGCGAAGACGATGACAGCACACCAGCCTCTGACATGCCTTATTTCACTTTATCCACGACACCGGCCCGGCCCGGGCCACCAACATAACTCTTCCCAGCCAAAACGTAAATTTGTTACCATTCATATTAGTTTCTGCTCAATATTATAGATTACAGTACAATGTACAGTATTCAAATTTAAGAGTTGTCGTTAATCATCAAGTCCCGTCTGCCTGTCAGTCATCAGGCAGAACCTACGTGTTCAGGCTTTTAAAGGGAGGGATTAAACGAGTTCATTATAAACAACAACTAAACTAATAGCGACATCACTAGAGGAGTTACAAGTGCAAGTGGAAATTTAAGAATTCAAGGTTCAGGTTGGAGCCTTCTCACCTCTCTCGCTCGGCGAAACACAACACTGGCCACCACAACTACCACAACTACCAACCCGGTTGTGGACCAACCATTTGTGCCGAAGCATGGCTCTTGCACAGTTAAAACTACTTCGTTTCGCTACTTGCCTACGGTTGTTATACAATGACAGCCACGGAGGAATCTCATGTATCCGTTGAGTAAAAGGAGATATATATGAGTAAAATATCCGTTGGGTTGTTTAAAAAACATTGCCGTTTCTTTCGTCACAACTTCAGCTTGCGGGTGATTATATTACTAAATGGTGAGAAATTTAAATGTTATAAACAATATAAGTATAATGTATTTATTTATTTAAACACATTTTTACTACACACATACTTACACATAATAGAAACACTACAGATATAAGAGTGTGGGAGAGTCATGCTTCTGCACGAACACTAACGTTGTTTCGCCTCGTGTGTGAGATTACCGCAGGCCCAATTCTTTCCCTCCCCATCCTCAATCCTCAAGTCCAATCTATTATCTATCCTTACATCCTTGATAGCCTACAAAAGGCCGCCACGCACTCGTGACTCTTTTGGTGTTGCGGGTGTCAATGGGCGGCACCAATTGCTTACCATCAGAAAGAAAGAAAGAAAGAAAAATTATTTATTTGCACCGCAAGAATTAATAACAGGCAAATTAGTTACAACTTCAATGGAGAGTATGCATGGAGCAAAAAGGCCAAGTGCTCAGCTAAAATCAGGTAATCAGTCTGTCTATAACATAAAAATATATACATAGAATGTTGTGATTACAGTCAAGTGTAGGTGGTCTAATCAAACAAGCGATTCATTAATTCACAGTTAAAGTGAAGTGTGACTGCAGGGTTGGTGCGGTGGCTGGGCAACTGGCTGCCGTGCAACGGGTCGCGGAACAACTCTTTCTTTTTGTATGATCCACAAAGTGTCGTTCCGGGTTTGGGTGCCATGTGTATCTGAAATTGTATGTTTGTAACCGTACCCACGACACAAAAGGAAAAATGTTAAAGTATTTTTGTTACCTCTACGCATTGTATCGAATGGTTTGTTTCTATGTGGACAAGCAGCTGACATTAGGTCTACCTTTATATTGCAGCCATGTTTCGTATAAACTATCTACGGTTGAGGTAGTTGTCAATAAGTTGAACCCTTTTCATTGTTGTGTTCCGATTTCCGATAAGTCGCTGCCAGGTATTTATTCATCAAGGGTATTCTTGCTTGAACGGAGCGGAACATATATATTTTTGAAATCATTCAATCATTTTATTTATGTTATGGAATCAATGGATTGAAATCTTGACATCTTGTCGAATTTAGTGCGTTTTTGAATTGTAAATAATTACAGTTTTCTGTGAATATAAAAGAATGTTGTTTAATTATTTCTTAATAACGAGGTAGAAAAATATGAACATTAAGTATGTTGTGATGACCTCACGGTTGGACTAGTGGTTCGGCAACTGGCTGCTGTAAGTAAAACGTGTCGGGTTCAATCTCGCACGAAACGGTTTGAGCAATTCACAAATGTTTGGCGCTGAATGTGACGTTACAAAGATTGAGGCTAGACACGTTGAAAAATGAAAGGTTTAACATTTTGTACAATTAAATAATCGCTGTTAGCCAAGCCCCAAATTATAATGTTATTCGTATTGGTATATATTATTCGTAAAAACAGAGATGAGCATTGGATTGTTCGATTCCCCGGTTGAGCGATGTTAGAAAACATGAGCAGATGTTTATTACCCTTATTTTTTAGAATTCTACAAAACTCATATCTTTTTTACTATCTTTCTTGATAATTATCAAACACTTTTTACGTTCTTATTGTCATTGTAATTATTTCAAGAGGTTTCTATTGATTGGAAGACTTCGAAACAAACTTTAGATTTGATGAACATTTATCAAATATTGAAAAATTGCTTCTCTTAGTTATTAAACGAGCAGATGGAAAGCCTGATACTTAAATATTTCTTAATCAATTAATGTATAAATATATTCTACTTATTTTCAAATTTGATCATAAATAAATAATAACAAATTGATTTGAAATTGAATACAAGACATCAATGAGCGCGCCTGTACGTTTATCGACCTGCGCGGCGGGCAGGCGTCCGGCAGTTTCTTTTGGTGAGTGCGAGCGTTTAGTTCTGGCTACTGTTACCTAAACCAAGGGCTACAAATTTACCATGGAACCACCTTCTAGAACAAAAGAGCCCCCAGTGCAGCACAGCGCATCAACTTCAGCGACGCCGAGCACTGAAAACCCTCAACAATCCTTAGAAGAAAATATGATGCCTTCAAATGACATGGAAAACTCAGGAAACTCTCAAAGACCCCCTATAGAGACGCACGCTTCAAGCGAAAACCAGGAAAAAGAAATCTCTCAAGAGGCTCCTGATAAGAAGCAGACTACAAATGGCATTGATGGGGCCGAAATTCCAGGGCAAGCTCCTGAGGAACTGCATACTGCAAGTGCCGTAGAGGGCAAAGATAATTCTCAACGACCTCCAGATGTAGTGATGACTACAAGCCAAATTAAAGACACAGAGCACCCACAAAAAAGCCCTGAAGAAGTCATTACTGAGAGCAGCATAACAGATAAAGAAAATTTACTAGCCCCGCCTGATATAGTGATGACTGGAAACGAAATGAGAGATACAGATAACATTACACAACTCCCAGAAATTTCCACCAGAAACGAAATACAAGGGTCAGAAAAACTATTGACTACAAACGAGCAACAAAGCCCAGAATGCATATACAGACGCCCTGAAATAACGCTTCCTGCATTTGACATCCAAGTAGCAACGACATCGAAAGCACGACCAGAAATATGTGCGGCCACTGCATCACCGCGAACCCCAAAAAGGTCGCGAGACCAAAGACCAACTAGTACGAAAAAAGAGCTGTCTACACGGGCGAAGATTGCTAGCATACTTAAAGCCTGGAAGAGAGGTCAGAGGCGGCGCCGAGCTAGAGAAAGAATGACTAAAAATTTGGGTGAGTATGTTGTAGGGCTGTCGATAATACTAAAATAAGTCTCTTGTACATATTATTATGTATGTATTTCATCAAGCTAAGCTCGGAACGCTTTTCCAAGTAGTTCAATACTTCAATATATAGTATGGTATGCGCGACTGAAACATTGTATTTGATATGATTTAATTGTAACCAGCCTAAGCGAAATTCCATTCATAGCAGTAAATTTATTAATATTCATGGCCGTTTATTAAAATCGATTTTATAAGGTATCACTTTCAATAAAATTCCGGAGCTATTTAATCAGAGCGTTCAAAGCGGTCCTTGAACTTTTTTGGGGCTTAGTTGAACATATAAATAAGATTGTACCTAAGTCGGTCTGAGTTGAATGAACTGGTGCCAGACAGTTCGATATTAGACGGAAAGGGACTCAACTTGTATGTTGGTACCTATAAGTGTAATATAATTTTATCGAAGATTATTTACAGTTTGATTTAGACGAGCTATTATTAAAAAATAATTAGGTATTTAAATATTAAAGTGACTTTGAAACTTTATCTGTAAAAGTTTAACATTAAACATTTTGCTCTACAAAGTTATATCATACTCCAAATATGTAGTAAAATCTTTTTCCTCAAAAAACAAATATAGGTTTTTATTATCATGGAACCTAGCCACTGAACTTCGAAATCATAATGAAATGGATAATCTCTTGAGGTTAAAATGAATAAACGTTATCGTCATAAAACGCCAGAATTCAAAATGAAACTCATGCGCATTGCTCAACTAGCGTGTCGCCTCTGATGGCGGCACCCACTTCAACTCTGCTCAATAACAGTTGCTGGCGACTAGTACACAGTACGTAATCACACGATACAATTTATAGAAACGTTTTGCATGGTACGGTATTATGTTTCAGTCCGAAAAATGTTGGGGCCCGGATTTTGGAGAGACATTACCGTGTCGGATAGGAACGAGGCGGGTGGACCCGGGGTGCAACGTTCCACACCGACATGCACAGCCACGACAGCGAGACCTCATCCTCCTCAAATAAGGGCAACAGAATACCCACAAGCACATTGTAGTACTACAATGTCAACGAGTGCAGCCGCTACAACGTCTGAAGCTATCGGGATACGAGCTACCACTTCACATACGGAGATAGCAACGACCGCCAATAAACCATCTACAACAAGCGCATTTGAACCTAAACAAGGATCTCCAAGCGACGTGCTAATTTTAGACGATGATGATTCGTCAGATTCTGATACAATTCCAATCGAAGAAGCGATTAAACATTCGCCTCTTGCGGAAATGGCAGCTGAAATGGATGCCAAGGATAAGGTGGAAGCAAGACGAAAGGCCAGGGAAAATCAAAATTATGATCTGCAACGAGAGCTCGGTGAGTGCGCTGTGATACAGTCTGTAACTATAAACTCTAATACTGCTAATTACTTAGCAATTTAAGCTAGGTACGCTCATTAATCGTACAAGTGTGGCATACGCGAATGGGTTGTATTGTATATGCTATAAAGTCTTGATGTTGCTAATGATTTCATTATGGCAAAAGCGAAAATCTTAAAAACAATGATAAAAAAAATGAACAGGCGCCAGGCTAACTCAACCTTTTCCTTGTTTTAGTAACTTTACTCTAAAATGGGAAAATGGGCACGTTTTGTGTGGCAATATTTCAAAATTAATTTTCTTTAGTTATGTTATTATTCCGATGATTATAACTGTAATGACAATAAAACTTAACTAAGCCCTATCGACCTAGAGCGCTTCAGCATAGTGTTTTATTTGTTTCAGAGAAGAACAAAAGGATGCACGAACAGGTGATGAAGGAGATGCAGCAACATCTGAAAACCCCGTACGTGAAAGATTTTTTAGAGTTCTTTCAAAGTGAAATGTCTGAGGAGGGTAAACATTATTTTTTTTTACCTTCTTCTCACCCCTGTACAATTTCGTACATCAATCACCTCAGTTATTTCGCTAATTTGGAATAAGTAACTACCATAATACCGAAAATGTCAATATTATCTAGTAATGAATTACTTTAAACAACATTTAAATTACTAATACAATAATTTCAGAGTACAAACGCTCGGAGCTGCTGGTTTATGTGGCGTGTTTGCCACACCCCTACCCTCTTTGATGGAAGAGGATGGCTGATGGGAGGCTGCGGATCTACCAGGGGTTGTCCGACAACGACATCCTACCAGTCCTCATCAACGGCCACCAATACCTTGAGGAAGCGACCGACACTAGCAGTTCAGATGAACTTTAAATACTATTTCATTATTTCACGCCATTTTTTAAATTTGTTCTCTGCCCGAATTTAAAAAGGGTTACGTAAATTTTCTGTTTTATAGTACCTAAATATATATACAAAGGATAATGAATTTTTATGATAGGCTTTGCTGTTGTTTTTCTTGAAACGAGGATATAAAATCATAATGTAAATCATAATCTCCTCTGTGTTAAAACGCCTACGTAACACTCAACACAAAATCAATGGAAAGAAAATAGCAGTAAATAGGCAATTGAAGATCTGTCGACATCTATTTATTCCACCAAATTTTCTCTAAATGTAACAAATACGATCAGCTTTAATTTACTTATAATATAAACAGAAAAGTAACTTAAGGTGTCTGTCAAGTACAATTTTTCAACTTCTATTTAGAGTATACCTATAAAAACAAAATTTCCATAGCGACAATAGTACGAAAACCAATCCATAACATTTTCCCTTATTACAGCAATACTGAACACAGAACCTCCGTCTTTTTAGAGTCGGATAAAAAGAGCTTATTCTCTATTATGACTGCTATACAAAATTTTAGTACAATATAATGATGTTGTTATAGAGGAAAAATGTCGTCGATTGGTCCTTTATTTTGTACATTCTATTGTGGCAAAGTTCTTTGATGTGCCAAGGTTTGAAGAAAAAAGGTTTTTAAATGAGGAATTAATATACACATACGAAAATTTAGATACTTAAATAGCCTCAGAGGTGTTTTGACTACATTGGATTTTAAAAAAAGGTAGGTAAGTTATAAAATATTGTGGAATTTACAACTGTTAGTAGTTTTGGAAACGTGTTATTTCAAATCGGACTGCTGTATTTACAGAAAGCTTAACATTAAGTACAATCGACCATAAAACTACCCTATTTTGTAAGACGTGACCTATTATATTATTATTAAAACTTCGATATTTACACAAGCAAACTCATAAAAGATTTACAAATAAAAATAGACCTTATTATTTTGTGACGTGCATACGAATTTCGATTTTTTGTTGGTAATTTTACGGTCGAAAATACGTGCAACGTTTGTTGTATTATCGAATAGTCGTTTAAATATTTAACTTATCGTATTAAAATGATCTGATTGTTTAGAGACTGACCTCCATAATACAGGGAACTCTAGTGTGGAGATCGGTGATCAATGTATTAGGTATATGATATTTACGCACAAATATTTTGTAGGTATATTTTTAACAAAATATATGGGATTGTATTGGTCTACAGAAGGGACTAGAGTGCCTTGCCCTGTGACCTAAATGGAATTGGAGTAGTCATTAACCCTACGAGCCTAGGAGCACTGATTGCAAATGAGATCGCACAATTTATTATAATCATTGAATGTTAATCTTGGAATTAAGAGATCCAAACCCGTTTATTCTTATTTCGACACTGGGACACTTGGGGTATAAATATGTCAATACCCAAGGTTTTCCTAGACAACTGGAAAGTTCTGAATAGAAAAAAATGTAACGGGTTTCTCATAATTAAAAAAGAACTCATGTTAACAAGAAGTTCACTTTTAAATGTCATTTTTGTAGATTTAATTGATTTGAGCAGAATAATTATAGAGTTAAGGGAACTTTAGCAACAATTTCGAGTAATTTCAATGTCAATGTATGCAATGTAAGTAGAATGTAGTCTTAACACGATGTGACAACGCACATGTACCGAACATTTCGAATATTAAAGCTAAGGTTTTAATGGTCGGTTTTACAGGTCAAGTAACTAATTAAGATGTTTTGTCCATCAAATAAAATGAAAAGATGGAAGTAAATTCTTACTTCTCTAGTCTGTTACATTGATCTGTGAAACGGATACAAAAGATTTAGAAATAATTTGTGTTTGATGTTAATAAACGGAATGATAAATATTTTTATCCCGTATACATGTCTAGTCCTAGTATTACCATAATTATATCGTATTTACTGTACTACAATGTTATACTGAATAAATAAATCTGAGTGTCAAATAATTTTTATCGTCGGTCTCCCAGATGATTGGCGTTTCACCTCTTCATGGCGGATATTCCAACCATATTATCTTGCTCAATTATTCTTCATCATTACAATCATTATCAGTCGGAAGATGTCCACTGCTGAACAAAGGCCTCTTCCTTAGTCTTCTACGTCGAACAACAACCTGCATCCATTGGCAGCCCGCGACTCAGACGATGTCATTAAAATATTAAACGCTAGGCAGCGGTAAATTGTTTTTATGGAATTGGAGGAAAAGCAGCGCTGCCCGTAGCCACTCCAGAAGAGTCACAAAGGCGTTACAGATCTTTTCAGAAGGAGTATGCTCGTCTTGTTGTCACGTCTCGTCGTCTCGTAATAGTCGTGGTGGCCCGCTTTTCATACATGAGGGTTCGCAACCTGGCAAGTACCTATATGACTTTTTTCGAGTTATATGTACTTTCTATGATTATTTTGACTCCACTGACATACGGTGAAGGTAAACATCGTGAGGAAACTTGGACTTATAATTTCTAATTATAAGTTTGAAACCGCTAACCCGCATTGAGCAAGCGTGGTGATTAATGCTCTAACGTTTGAGAAGAGGCCTTTGCTCAGCAGTAGGCACTTATAGGCTGATGATGATGATGCTCGTCTTTGTTTACATAAGTTTAAAGTTAGTATCGGTTCGGTAATATCGCCATCGAATGGTCATTCTAAAGTTTTGCTGTGCAACGCAGAAATTATTTCTCTTTCCAACAATCTTGTTCTTTATGGATAGCAGTTGGCAGCTTAGCACGCACGTCTCCTGTTGATAAGCAATCAACGTTGGAACAAAATGAGCAGAAGCTAAACGAAACATGCAAGTGCATTGCCGACCTTTTTGGAAAGAGAGTCGAGATAAGATCTTCAGAAACCTCACTTATAAGGTGAACCACATTACAACGCAAGCGTTTTTTGACGCCGCGCCGCTTTCCTATGAGATAACCAAGGTTAGAACCTAAACGCCCTATTCGACACAAACACTAGCTTTTTTACTACCAATAAAAAAAACAGCTCCGTATTCCTTCAGAAGAAAGATTTCTCACCAGAATTTTGAAAGAAGTCGAAGAACACTTATGTAAGGTAACAACAATAGGCTAGTCTTTCTTTATTATAAGCAGCCCGTGGCAGTTAACCACTGGATCACCTTTGCTTAAGGCGATTACCCATGACATCCTCACTAGTTGGTTGGTGATTAGAAGTATCAGTTCAAAAGGTTATTATAGACGTGCTGCTACTTGTTTTCTGTCAATTTGTAGTTCTTCAAGCGAATCATACCGCACCAGAACAGTTTGGTTTCAATGCAGCAATTCATGATCTGATCTGCCTCAAGCCTTTACTCCATACAGAGGTAGACAGAGGCCCAGCATCATTTAAGTACCAATCAATTTCAGAACTATTTTTTTCTTTTTGGAATTTAGGAAAAAAAATTAAAGACGGATTCTGATGTTCATGTACAAGCGCCTTATTTTAGAGGTCACGGTTGAAATCATAAAATGATTTTTTCGCCTATATGGTATAGCGAGAAGGAGTGTCAGACTCTTACTGACAAAAAACCCCATCGTTCTTTGCAATCCCGGCTGAACATCGGCCCTGATGGGCCCCGTCTGGAGGGAGTGTGCGTCTGTCCGTCCGCGCGTGGTATGCTACGCGCCGCTGCCGTACGCTCGGGTCTTGTTCTGGTCGGGCGGCGAGATAGGCTTGCTGTCTACAGACCTGCTCTTACGGTGGCAGGAGATCTTGGGTCCCGGAGTGTCCCCTACGCCAGCGGCTTTTAGCCTTACGCCTTATTTTTCGCTTCGCAAAGTCAGGAGAATTCTTGTATAAAATAAAATGTAATACCAACTTGCTGTTAAATATTCTCAAGTATTAAGGGGTTTTATCTTTCAACTTTGGAAGACCCAGTTATCAAGGCAAGCTTGTTATAATAGGTGTAAATTTTGCATGCATATTTGTCTGGTGTTTTGAACAGACTCATTTTAAATCTCAAAAAATGATGACTACTAAATTCCTTTGAATCTGCAGCACAAAAGGAATATAACGGAAAGATCTGATTAGAGGAATTTGGGGTTGACTTCATATCTTCATCATTTCATTCGTGCATCATCGACGATAGTGTTGTCTCACTCTGCCAGTCCGAACATCTTTCTGAAAATGTACAATCGAGTGAAAAGTTTCATCTCAATTCAAATATTACCTTAACTGAGGAAACACAATCTTACGTTGAATAATATTGTGTTTACAAAGGGTTTATTAAAATATATGTTGATGCGAATTTATTTTATATAGCGATAGCTACAAAAAATATTTAAGTACAATCCATGTACATGTTATCATCATCATTGTTAAAAAAATTTCGAGTTACTTTAATATTTGGGTAAGTCTGCTTCGTTCAAAACTATCCATACCCAACAAGCAGTTGACCATGCAGAAAGTGCCAATTTTGATATAAGTTAAAACAATCATCCAAAAGGATCTACGAGCAAGGGACAAATTAAATTTGCCTAGCCAAGGAATTGAACTAGTAGTCAGGTAGCAAATCTATATTTGACGATGGCATCAGGACCACAGAAGTGCAATCAAAATTGCAAATAGGATTCGCTGTTACTTTTGCACACGAGTGTCCCGTGTACATTCAAATCGATTGGCTCGATAACGCCCTCTGGCATTTGTATTACTGTCAAAGTTGCGCTTGCTGACGCAGCTGCAGAGCTACTTTCTGCTAATTTAAATAGTTCCTGGTGATAAATTTTCTGATCTCAGCATGTCTTCTGGAGGTGTCCGACGCCGGATCTGCCGAGTTCGCAGATATGTGATTCGAAGAATCGAAAGGAAGGTCCTGGTGACTGAAGCGACCACACAAGTGGGCAGCTGGACGAAGCTCTTTAACGAAATAGGTACTGCGCAATTGAATGGTTCTCTAGTTTTTTGTCGAGAATTATATGTAATAACTGTTGTGAACAATGTTCCAGTTTCCTTATAAAGTTGGTTTTGTCTTAACTTTCAATCGACCTTGAATTTTTTGCGTAGAAAGCTTACTGCGTAGTTATGGCGAAATCATAAAGTTTGTTTTGCGACTTGCTTATTCTTATATTATATTTTCCAATTTTATTGTTTTACACATGAAACGTGGTATCTTAACACCCAATTTAGTAGAAATGTGTAAACTTTTAACTCTTTGTGACGCAGTTAAATATTGAAGGTCAAGCAAAAGCTCTCGATTGTTTTCAGATGAGATTTTAAATCATATTTTTGCTAAGCAATGCCAATTAAGATTTGAATAAGTGTATGTGTATATGAATGTTGATAAAGAAGACCACGGCTTCCACAATTTTTTCTGTACATGATACATGTCGGGTGCCTTAATACGTATATTATGCAAACGCCATTTGCCCATGACGACACCATATTCATATCTAGCTTACGTTGAACAGAGCATTCAATTTAATTTCAATTTAAATTTGCAAATTAATTGAGAATGTTTGTGCTTATTAAAGGGATATATTATTATGGTATTACAAATAATTTGAAGAGAATATTGACTAAAACTGCCACCAAATAAAAATGGTGTTTGTCAATACCTGACGTTTTGTAAAACAAGAGCTTTATACTATCGTGGTTTTGTTATAGAGACCCGAGACGACGTTCGTCAAAAAGTCATGGAACAACTTGTGAAGAATCCGAACTCAGGCGCCGCAGATTTTCTTAAAGATCTGAAGGCTCTGAACCTCAGTCCTGAAGGTAAGTCGTTTTATGATAACAATTTTAATCGCAAGGTAAGAAATTACTAAAGATAAATTTAAAACCAAATCGCTTGATAACTATACGTGATTATGATAAAATCTAAACCTCGAATTATGTCAACCCACCTAAAAAGCTACCCGAAAGCAATTGCTTTTGCCAAAAGTTGCCAAAAGCCATTGTTAAGATTTTTATAGTTAGTTAGACGTTAGCTAGACTAAATGACAGATATTTTCTTTGTAGTTATTACTCTTAATGTGTCAAGAGCTGACTTTTTTTCCAAACCTAACCAGACCAAAGTTGACAAAATAATGGAAATCATGAAGAGGCGTGCATCCAATTGACTTTCCCATTTCAGATACTTGTGAATAATCTGAATTATTTTTTACTTTATTTAACTACAAGTCGTTTCCTTTTCAGAATACGAGCAGAAGGGGTTGGAAAAGCTGAAGCTTTTGCGTAAGTATCAAACTCCTCCTATATTCGTGAGTTGATTCCCTCCCTACATAGCGTTCACAATTCATGTCTCCTTCTTTATCACTTGAGGCTTCTACAAGAGCCTTCATTGCAAATACTTAACGTACCTCAACTCAGTTACAAGTTACCTTCAACTCGGCTACGTTTCCACCTGCTTCAGCTTGAACTCCAAAAACTGATTTGCCTTTTTATCTCATCTCAACTAGCTCAAAACTTATGAAGGTATTTATTTTAAGACACAGAAGGTATAAACACTGTTATCGAAGTTGTTGAAATCACATTATAGCCAAATCCAAGGTCTCTATAAACCATGCACCACCAAGTGATGCAGATGGGGTCGTCGGCGCATCTTTGCGAACTTTATAGTCTTTATTACAATGCCAAAAAAAGAGGAAACTTTTCTCGAAATATCTGGACCTTTTAATATATTTAATCTTAACTACTGCCAGTAACTGATCTCGTTCTATCCTGGCGACCAGATCCCCTCGAACTCGCACCACGATAGGTACTCCTCAAGCGTGTGTCCGTAAAAGTCCTATTGTTTTATAATAACACTACACATAACTAGTCAAGTCAATATTTCTAGTCTAAGTCAATAGTTCTTCAAAAAACACTTTTGTAAAACATTGAAAGTTAACCAATAAGCTTATCAGTTTATATGATCATTTGTTATATTTCTCAGCTGTAACATTAAGTTTTCAAGTGACTTTTGTTTTTATTTAATATTTCAGCTATCTCCCACATGTTAGATCTTTATGCGCTGACCCTGCCGCTGGAATAAACGGTGCGAGGCAGCTTCGAGGTGAGTCATTGAAAATAGTAATTTAGGTATAAAAGTAGAAAATATAATTATTTTGAGTTATGAAAACAAAAAAAAACGGGGGTACGGATGAGGAACGTATGTACTGGAAGAATTGTGTAATGAAATAGATGATGAAAAAAAGTCCTTTTGTGATTTTAAACCAGTAGAGCTTATTTCACTTAAGTAATTCCTAGTTACTATAAAAAATAATACGTTTCCCTTTCAGTGAGCAGAATTAGCCGCCGAACACCGCGCGCTGCTCCTCAACATTGTCCTTTGTCTTCAGTAGCGTCTGTCATGTTTCCATCCTCATCACTCAATGTATTAGTAATTTTAATCGTTGTTGTGATCTTCTGTACTTAACTAATAATATTTGTTTGAGTTTTTCCATAAACGAATTAATACTTGATAATGGGTCATGTTGCACCATATTTGGAAATATATCAGAAACACGAGCAAGTACCTTTTAAATACAAAACTATCGAACTTAATGAAACACGGTCTGATAATGGCGGTCGTCATTACAACGATTGCCATTCCAAAAAAACAATCGAATTTGGCTAATGTTAAATTATTTATTTAACAGTAGAATTAATCATCCTTTTAATGTGTTTCCACGTGCATTTACTTAATTAACCTTATACCTTATTAAAACAGAAAAACTTTATGCACTGACAAAAGAAACATTTATGAAAAAAATATCAAAACTAAAAAAATATTTTAAACTTAGCAGGCTGTTACATAAGAATAAGAAACAAGTAATAATTGCCATCCTAAAAATAATTGTAAAAGAAGAAACTCATAAATATTAATTAAAAATGCAGAAATCTATTATGTGCTTGTAGTTCAATGTTTTTTCAAATTACATATATTACTATCTTTCATAAGACCTAATCCAATACTGCTGATTTACTTTTATGTTAGCTTAATTGACAGATGTTTTGACTCATATCACATAGTGAAAGATATCTCAAAAAGTCTACCACTTAAATACCACAGGGAACAGCAACTTTATGAAGAGTGGTTCCCTCCCAAAGGCGTTCTCGTATCTCGTAGCAATAGTTGTGACTCTGTAGGAACAATTTAACATAGCATGGTCCCTCCTCTATGTCCTTTACTCAACTTGTACTATTTTTTAAGTATTTTTAAGTATCAAGTATTTACAGTAGGTATACGAATAATTCTTGTTGTTAATTTTATATTTCTAGACCAAATGGTTCATTATACGGTTTTAGAGGGTTACTTACATATTTTTATGAACTCTAATTAATTTACTATATTTATGTAAAAGGTAAGAATGAAACTAGATTTTTTCATATTTTTTAAAATTTTTAAGCTTAATAAATTTCTATAATATTATATTTTTGAAGATTATACAAATACAAAGCTAACCTGTACCTTGAAGTTATAGAGGTTTTTTTAGAATGCCCATGTACCCAGTTAACACTGTTTTTATACATATTTTTTATAATTCTTGACTTATTAAGATATATAAAATACTCATATGAAGTCCCCTTAATTAAATGATATTCAAAACAATTTTAGTTGACTGAGTGCATAGAATCAACAGCACCACAGTGTATCACGCTTTTTTTGTCTTCCGGCGTGGTTGAGTGTCAAATATCAATGTCAAAGTCAAAGTGAAATTATTTATTTTATTTAAACCATTTACTTTATTGGTACCATTGAACGTCACATAAATATTTAACAACCTTTCAATCTTAGTAATTTGACACACAATAGAACAACAATAGGTGCACGAACGAAAGAACAGCGTTCCAAGATTTAAAAACAATAAAATATAGCTTGTCGATAAGTCCTCTAGTGAAGCTACTTGCTTATTCCAAAGTTTAGATTCTTCTAAAGAAGAACTAGCAAAGAACTCCTTGGTCAATCTTTTTCAATCTGCATTACAATCAGATTCTTTGTTACATTATTAAATTGGTTCCATTTTTGTGAGAATAATATAACACAAATATTTAGTCAAAGAAAAGGTAAAAAAAATAATGTCATTATCAATATTATACATACATTGACTTAATTATTCAGACGTTTTACTATACTATAGCGTTTAATTGACGTTTGTCTAGGTGGCTCCAAAATATTTTTTTACCTGCGACTGTACTTTTTTAGGGAAAAGCTAAAATCACTCTGATCAAAATCACTTTAACGATATTGACAACGAAATTACATTCGATTTAAAAGAAGTCTTTTCCGTTTAGTGAGACATGTCTTTATTTGTAACTGATAACTTCATGGAACGACAAGAGTACATGTGACCGATTAAATGGACTAAACCTTATTTCATTAGAAAACCACCATCACTATCCAGCTCATAAGTGGAGAAAAGTTTGAGCATTAGAATACAAAAAACGACTCACTAAATTAAATATATATTGTTATACTAAGCGGGTATTTCACCTATCAAATCAAGCATGGCATAATTAGCTCATTAATACACGACCCAGCAAGCAACCATGGCAAACATATAGATACAACACGGGTTTCGGCAACCAGTCACTTGAGAATTAGTTTTGAAACCGGGTGAGGTACCCTGCATATAACTGTAAACATTTAATTGTTTGCACGAAATTGTTTAATAAGTCTATGTAAAACTAATGGAATAAGGTTCAAATTAACATCTTTCTTTATACGGATAAGAAGGTATGCGAAGGAAAAATGTTGGCAACCTTACGTAAGAGCGAAACAAATATACTGTTTTAGTCACGTTACTGCTGCTGCTCTCTTTACAAACAGATGAAATTATAATTTTATACACCAAAAATAGAATTGTGCCAATAAATAATTTCATTGAACATAATATTAGTTTAAAACTGTATGTACCTGAATGTAATCTCTGTGTTGTTGTTCTATATTAAATCTATCTTGATGTGGATGCGTGTTTTTATAGTTGCCATTAAATTAATGAGCAGCTCATATTCAGCCTTTATTAATTTGCTTTTGTTATAACCTTCATTATGTTTTATGTGGATATTTTCTTTAATTCACTCAATTTCTCTTTTCTCTATTCGATGTCTGCCCTCCCATCATCCTTCCTAATTTGCATGTACTGTAATCATTATTATAAACAAACAGTCTCAATTTCATCGAAAACAATAGCGCGGCGGTATTCTATCTCCTCTCTTATTCTTATCCACCATCTTTATGCCGACGACTTGCAGCTTTACTGTCAAGCCAGCACTGACAATCTGACTGATGCCATTTCCGATAAAAATGACAACTTAACTGCCATCAGTAACAGGTCAGAAAGATTTGGCATGGCAGTGAACCCTACCAAATGTCAGGCTATTATTATAGGTAGAAGTCGCTTACTCAGTAAAGTTGACGTTTCCTCTTTCCAAGCTGTCCGTTTCAACGGTGTGATCATTCCTTTCAGTGGCAGCGTTAAAGATCTGGGTTTAATCATCGACACCAATATAAATTGGCAGGCACAGGTCACCGGTGCCTGTGTCCTCACCGTACCAACTTCCTTCATTTTTCTTTCTTTGTTCAGGCCGTTTTATTGTGGAATGCACTCCCCTCCGATGTCAGGAGGGTGTCAGTTGCTTGACCTTCAAGCAAAAAGTTCGGGAACTTCTACTGGAGAGATTAGCGGAGTTTTCACAATAATTAATCCTTTTATATGTATATTCTGATATGTATGTAGTGCATGTAAATATTATATGCAAGTTTATTTCTCATACATTTTTATTTATTATCATAGTATTTATGTAAGTAAGTGTATAAAATATAAATATAAAATAAAATATATCAGTAATATTTTGCTTGCATCTTGCACCTATTGTTATCTCTGCATCACCCAAAGGTTCGACTGGCAGAGTATACCTGTAGCATGAAGTCCACCTTGTATGTAGTCTACACAGATGTATGTGGAAAAGTGTTAAGAAATAAATAAGTAGTGGGTAAAAAAATCGAGGCTATGTAAACATCAAAGAGTACATAAATATTAGTATAACATAGTCGCAGAAGCTCTTCCTATTTCACAAACGAGTTATTTAAATCATCCAATTACATTTTCTTAGAGATGTTATTTTTGTCAGAGATGAGTCTAAAATGACTATATATCCAGTTGAGGTAAGGGCTAAGAGGTACGTAAGCATCTTCTTTGACATCACCAAAGGAAAGAATTCCGACAATTTGATCATCATATAGCAGAGGACCCCCAGAATCTCCTATAGCAGTACTTGCTGAGCTCGTGCTTTGCGGGGAGACACAGAACGCGAAATTTGTCATTTGCTTCGTCGCATGACTACACTGGGAAATAAAACCCTCGCCTACCTGCAGCTGGCGCAGCTGATCATTACCTTCTTTATTAGTCCTCCCATATCCCACGAACTTTACGGGCAATCCTCCCAGTACCGTGTACTCGAGAAGCGAAACACTCCCATATCTTATTAGTGTAATATCGTTAACACGGAGTAAAGCAATATCATTCTCACTGACTGACAATATTTCACTGTTTCCGGGGACAGTTTTGTAATGGAAGCCCGAATGCATAATTACTTCTATTATTGGAGTATACAGATTGCTAACTAATGGAGAAACAGTATAATTTCCGTACCAAATGTAGTGATTTTTCGTTGCGTTGGTGGCACAGTGCGCTGCAGTGAGTGCACAATCCTTAGCTATCATGGATGCTGTGCACCTCCTAATAAAACCATTTTGACGTTTATTGTTTGCGATAAGCACCACGACTACAAATGGATACTCGCCGTCCTTGGCATCTTTCCCCTTTTTAATTCTGGTCAATTGATCACCGAAGTTACATGTCAATAAACTGAATGCTACCAGTGATTTAAGCATACTGCCGTACGTTGAGCACTAGTCAATAAAGTCCTTTAATTTTCTTTTGCATTTGTTTGTACTAATACCTTATCATGTAGTTACATGACTTATTGCCGTTTTAAAACCATTCGTGTTTTTTTTAATTGATCCATTAAGATATTGGAGATTTAAAT